TAATATAGTTTCCTGCTAGGAGAAAAGAACTACAAACAAGTGCATACTCAGCACGGATGCTGACAGCATCATAGGAGCTGAGAAGCCAAAGTCAGCCAAAGTTGCAATAAATTGATAAATCCCAGGTTTCGCTAACATGAGAATGTAGAATTATTAGAGCTACAGAAACAAGGTACACTGTGCAACACTCAAAAGATCTCCAGAAAGCTCACCAAATGCTTATAAGAAACATTTGGATAAAACAAGTGTCCTGGCATAGCATCCCTGCTGGTACAGCCCTGGGGGGACAGGAATAGCAGCTGTGTGAATGTGTAAAGCCCTATCTAAATCCATCTGCCCTGTGGAATAAAAGCCTTAGCATGACTGGGGAAAGGCGCACAAAACACTGTCAAATATATGGCACTGATAAAGCCTATGGTAGGTGGTGGTTGAGAACAGTCCCATCAACAAAAATTCTCTATCAAGAGATGTGGCCTGAAGGGTGACATATTAGTAGATCCTGAGCGCAGACAACTAAAGTTCCAGAGAGGAAATGGGAAAAGCAAAATCAACCAACCTAACAAAGAACACAGGGGATAACTCACTTCAGAATCCCAGCCCAGTGCTTTGTAAATCCGGGCAACACTGAGTCAGTAAGAGAATACTTTTTCTTCTTCAAGACCTTTCAGATGCTAATGAACACTGTAAAAGAAATAAAAGCATCGTAGCTTGATGAAGAGACAGAAATGAGATAACAATGCAAAATAAAAATTAAGTACAGGGTATGGTGCAGACATTGATAAAATTTTTTGGTAAAATTTTACAATAAAAATATAAATAAAAAATAAAAATTAGGTGGAAAAATGCAACATCTATGGTGTATTAAGAGTAGATGAAATATTAATATAGCTCAAGACATAGTTGAATCACTGACAATATTAACCCAAAATACTCAGTAAAGGCCCAGCAGGAAAATATGCTGCTCATTTTCAGGTATGAATTTCTTTACTTTATTCTCTAATGTCCCATAGAGCAACATGAGTTAATGTCTAATGCTTCCTGCTATGTACTGTATAATGCCAATATTACGATGTTCTAAAATAGAAACATGATAGAGAAAGAGAATAAATCAGTGGTTGCCAGGATCTGGATTGGAGGAGTTGAATACAAAGAAATATGGCATATTTTGAAATGTATTCAGTGTATTATTAACTTTATAACATACATTTAATGTCAAAATTTGGTTAATTGAACATTAAAAAGGATTTATTTTCACATTTGCAAATCATACCATAAGCCAAGGGAAATAAATTAATCATAAGCTTCATCATAAAAAATGATTCATGATAGACTTAATACAATTGAAAAATGAAAATATTACATATACATGAAAGTTTTCAATCGATTTTGATGTCTAAATGTCAGTATGTGGTGTATTAAATGTAGAGTCTTAGAAACTAATGTATATTGAGACTGCATTCTATTTGTAGAATCACAAAAAACATTAGCCTATTCAAACTCCATACCAAATTAAAAAAAAAAAAAAACTAGACAACTCCTGTGTGTGTGTGTGTGTGTGTGTGTGTGTGTGTGTGTGTGTATCTCAAGGCTTACCCTTTGTACAACATACATTAAGATAACTGTGTAGTTAACTTGGTGAATCTACTGCTTCACATTGACTATTTTGAATAAATTTGAAGAAATTCAACTCATTTGTATGCATTGTCACTAGAGATAAAAATATAACTCATCCATCTCCCAGTGGACTGTTGAACTGAGAGAATTAAGCAGTGAAAAATATTTTCTCACTGTTAATATTACCACAGCTTTGTGGAAATTACCTACAGAAACATGGAATTTTATTTCAAGAAGTTGTGATGACAAGTTATCCAGTAGTAAAATACTTCATGACCAATGACAGGTAGGGTTCACTAAGTAAATTGAGTGGTACTCAATAGTATTGAGTTAAATAATATGTAAGAGTCATTTTCCAGAATCTAGGAGTGTGGAGGAGGAGTGTCATTAAAAATACCAAAGACATAGGGTTCTAGGAAGATGTAAATTAGGAGATCTCAAGAATCTTTCTTCCCATTTAGAAAATAGTTGCATGATCAGAACCTATTTAAAATCACTATGTTAGGACCTTGGAAACTGCTGAGGTCTTGCAACTTCCAGGAGAAAACCTGCATGAAAGACTGTAAGTTATTTTGAATGAATCCAGCTCTTCTCCTAGTTGTCGCTACTCATGTCCCATCTCTGACTATGTGGGAGGGAAATGTGCACATGTTTCTGGAGCACATTACAATCAGCTTAAAGGAGCGTTGGTAAATGCTTAAGTCTGGAAGATGAACTTCTCCTAAAGGTCCCCAGCTTGATGCCACTAGAGAACGGGGCAATTTTGAGAGAAGGAGGAGAGATGTTTCCACCTTGAGAGCATGACCACAAAAAACATTAAGGAATCTATGGTTGCCCTTATTGCTTTTACTTCTCCTCCATAAAGGGAAGAGCTTTGATCCACCATACAATACCAGAATTATATCTTGCTTTATTACCGGTCCAAACCCAAGAACATCAATTACCACAGACTGAAAATCTAAACCTGTAAGTCAAAATAAAGCTTCTGATATATAAATTGATTACATTAGATATTTTCATATTGTGAAAGAAATTTGACTAACACAATAGACCCTTCAAGCTACCACAGTTAATCCACTATATTCCAAGGTTCTGGGAGAAAGGCTGGGCCAAAGGTAGGGTGTGTCCTGAGGGCCCAGCAGATGTCCTGAGTCTGGCATCCGCTGGGCATGGGCCAAGGTTCCAGGGCAGTGTAGCATTCCTCATTGCTGACTGAAGTCTCACAGAAAGTGGGCAGCTGCTCAGGCTAAGGTTCGAGGGCAGCATGCATTCTCCAGGCCCAGGGGGGTCACACAGGAAGCTTGCAGCAGCCTGGGCCAAGGTCCCAGGCCGGTGTTGTGTTCCTCAGTGCCATCTGGAGTTGCGCCTATTTCTGGGTTTTAAGTGATATTTCAAAGCTTCCTTGGTGCTCTGGGAATCACCTGGCCCACTTTTGGCCCCCGGGAAGACTGCTGGCAACTGCTTGCCACGTGGAGCTCACTATTTATGGGCCAGTTGGGCCTGTGGGGACTCCGTGTGTCCTCTGGTGATTTCAGACACAAGGTGTGGTCTTACTGCCTGGGAGCCAAGTTCTAAGGCTTTCCGGTGCACTGGGATTCAACTTTTGCATAGTCAGGGCCCGAGACTGGATTTCAGGCCCTGCTTGCTGCTTGGAGTTCATTGGGCATGGCCCGTTTAGGTCTGCCAGTACCTCCTGTGGTTATTAGGGTGATTTCAGACACAGGGCATGGTGTTAACTACCTGGGAGCAAAGTTCTAAGTTTTCCCCTGAGCGGAATTCAACCTATGCAAAGTCACTGAACCATATTTATAGTATGATCATAGATACAGTATATATGAGATATTCAGCCTTAGAAAGAAGGCGATTCTGGTCTATGTTTCAGCCTGGATAAAACTTGAGGAAATTGTGCTCAGTGAAGTAAGCACATCATAAAAAGGCATACACTGTATTATTTCTTTTATAAGAAGTAGTTAAGAGTAGTCAGAGTCATAGAGACAACAGGATGGTGACTGCTAAGCAAAGGGATGGGTAGGGACATTGGGGAGCTGTTGTTTAATGGACATAGACTTCCAGCTTTATAAGATGAAAAGAATTCTGCAGGTGGACAGTGCTGGTAGTTAACCCAATATTGGAAGTATATTCAATACCACTGGACTGCATGTTTAAAGTTAACCAAGACATTAAATTCTATATCAATTTTATCCCAAGAAAAATGGAATGAAGGATGAAAATATAAATACTTTTTCCTTAGTTATAGGCTCTCTCTCAACCTACCACAGTCTTTTTTATTTTCTATTCATTTTTCTGCTTCCTCTGTCTAGGGAATACTCACCTGCTGATCTCAGACCTCTGCAACTGTACAAGGGCTCCATCTTTAGTCCTCACCTGTTCTTTTAGTCAGAGAAACATCTAAGGAATTAGTTTTTCCTTACCATGGCTTGCACTTCCAAACTTTAGAAGTGGAGCAGTTCCCAAAAGACTGCAAGCTCCAGCCAGCTACCTGATTTGAGAATGAGCAAGAGTCACCAGTGCCCTGTACTCTTAACCCAGGGTGGGAATGATCGCCTGCATGCCCAGCTCTGAGACCTGGGGAGAGAAAAGGGATGTAGTCTCTCACATTGCTGATTTTACAGATTTCCTTTCTCCAATCATGGAGTGTCTGGTCAACTGGTCTTTAATACACAGAACACTATCTATTGAAATATTTAAACATGCACAAATTCATCTACTTAGAAACTTCTACAAATGATTTTGATATTCAGCCACATTTGATGCCAGTTGTTATGCTTATGAATTTAGGGAGTAAGAGGCAAGTATAAGAATGAGATTGCCAACGGTCTGAGTTCTCATATAACACCAAAGTTGTATCAAAAGTGAGGATTTTTTCTTTTTATTTAGGAGCAGAATTTATACTACATGAGCCATTTTTTTTAAAAAAAATTGAATATTTTATTCCTGTTAGAAGAGACTAAGAATTAGAAGGAATGTCTAAGTGAATAATTTAAGATTTGGTATTACAAGAATTTCCTAGAGATGAAGTTAGACACAAATTTTTGAGAAACAAAGTCATCTCCTAAGAATAGACAAAAACTATCAAACTTTTAGAACATAACTTGGAATAAAATAGCTATGCTTACTTGAATTATTCTAAAAATTTACATATTATTGTATCTGTATGAAAACAGATTACTTTCAATGTAATCAAAGAAGGAAAACTGAATTTTCCCCACACTCTTGTATAATTATTGAAGCATCATTATCTCTAGAAGATTAAACAGCTTTGTAATTTAAGAGAAAAACTACTTTAAAATGTTCAAACGATTTTAACAAAGAAAATAATTCCTCAAGCTTTTAAGCTTATTTAAAAGAAGATCATAATTGTCATCACCTGTTGAAGAAATACCAAGGTACTTGTAAACAGCCAAGCAGCAGTTGATAGCAGTTTTACACCAATTCATCCTTCACATAGCTCTCGAAGACCTGTATCGAAACAAATGAAGTGATCTCATCATCACTCTGCTATAAATATTTTAGTGACTTTCTATTGTCAACAAAAACATCAATTCTTTAACGTTATCAAAAGTAGTTTAAAATTTTAGTATTTCTCTTCCTACTATCTCATTATGTTTTTAATTAATGAAAAGATAAAACAAAATTTCAAAATGAAATAATAGAATAACATTCATTAATACACTGGTATTGTCATCTTCAAAAGTAGTTACTCAGAGTAGAAGATATAGGGATATAAAAAATTCTCTAAACAATATTAACATGAATCTCTCTTTTCAATGAAATAACAGGAACTAGCAGTATAATTATTTGTACTTTTTTGCTTTTCCCTTCCTTCCTTTCCTCTTTCCTTCTCCCGTGTCCCTCTTCCTTTTTGAACAATTTCTTCTCATTTCAAAATATCTATTGAACATTTTAGTCCTTATTTTACTCTTTCAGTTTCTCACACCAAGGAGGTAACATGATGCTTACATACGTGAGTTTATTTCACTTATGAGTATGGTGCCAAATATCATTCATTCATTTTCCTTTTTTTTTTTTTTTTTTTTTTGCGAGTGTAATTGTTTTTCTCTTCTGGTTCTTTTTAATTTTTTTTAGAGTTTATTAGTACATGTTTGGAGTACATAGGGATTGTGCTCATCAGGACGAGCCAGGACTTGTCCGGAACACATCTTAATGCTTTTTTCTTCCCCTGCCCATTTACTCCTTGCCTCTTCCATTTATCCTAACCCTTACTGCCTTCCCTTTGCAAAATATGATCATCTACTCAGACAAGAGCAAAAAGTGAGGGAAAAAAATGAAAATGAAGACAACATGGAACAGGTTTAGAAGAGCTATCTCAGAGTTTGTTTTTATTAAGAGACCAGAGAGAGAGAGAGAAGAGAAAATACAAAAGTATGCACACAAATAGAAGATAGAGAATGTTCAGAAAATTAGCTGGAAATTAGAGTTTGCCTGTTAATCATTCTTTGGTTAAAAAAAAATCTTTATGATTTAAACAGTGGAGAGGAAGAAATGGAAATACTTTTTTAGTGATCTTAAAAGTGGGGCACAGTAAATACAGAAAATAATGACCATAATTTGAGCAGCTGCTATTTATTTACTTATCAAAAATTTACTGAGAATATACAAATCAAGATTTTCCATCCCAGGCTTTGTGACTAAAACTGTGACCAAAATAGATGAGTTAATCTTGAATCTTGCTCTCATAGAGCCGCATTCAAATGGTCAAACAGTAGCGCTGGCTACACAGTATAAATTTATGAAAAGCTCCAAGAACTGAAACCATAATTTGCTTCAATAATACTTTGCAGCTGGCAAATGGAGAAGAAGAGGCAAGGGTGATTCTGAAGGATTTAGTGAGAAGCACAGGTCAGAGATGAGAAATCATGGAAAGAGTGTGAGTTTTATTTAAAGTTCAGTGCTGGTTCACTGGGAAGACAAATGAAACCTGAATGTAAGAAGTTGAGAGACTGGGGTCAAGATGAGGGTGAGGACTGAATATTTTCTAGTTATAATATTCAGTTACAAATGATTCAAATTTGTGATTTTAAGCAAGCTAAGCATAACAAAAATACATAATGCATAAGGCAAGATGCCAGTATTCATAGAGCAGTAATATTGCAGCTAAATGAAAATTATTAACTCCAGTTGTCCTCTTGATTATGCTTGCGCAGTTTCAATTGACTTCCTCACATATGAGGAACTGTGAGATTTTATCCTGCGTTTTTGGCTCAGATTTTACTGATCACACAAACGCTGAAGTGCAAGTCCAAAAAATTAGACAACGTGAAGTCTTGTTTTAGAGTTTTGCTCTATTTAAGTTTATATGGTATTTGAAACGATGGTTTGTTGATGAACACAATGAAAAGTAGCTTGATAATATAACAAAAATGTATAAAAATGAAGTATTTTTGACCAGATCATGTATCTTTAAACAATGTCTTTAGTTAGTTGATAAGAATTTTGATATTTTCATATGATTTTTTAAGAAAAATCAAGTGTTGCACCACCCCCAAGATTTATTAGTACATTGAAAAGCATGATAAAACAGTGTATGAATTAGTGATTCTAGTTTATCTTGACAAATTAATACTATCTTGGCACCCAAATCAACAATTTATTAAGAAAATCAAGAAAATATATAGCCTTTGATTCATTTTTACAAGAAAAAATTACTTGTGATGATATGATTCAAGTACAAAATAGAATAATATATAAATGCTAAAACATTTTCACTTAAATTTGTTGCATATTTTGGATTTTTTAAATTTTTATTTAAATTTATATTCTTTGTATTGTCTTCAAAAGTATTATTGCATGTTGAGTTTAAATAATGAAGTAATTGGTCAAAACTAGGCCAAGGAGTATTGCCAACAGAAGGCAACTGGATTATTATTCCTGAGATTATGACAGGTTTAAATGTACAGAAAACAGCACTAGACAGATATCCCAAACATGTATATAAGAATTTAGTTGTTTGGAGACTGGAAATACACGTTGACCTCTTTGACTTAGTTTGAACAGGACCTTTACCAATGACCCAAACTGGGTGCAAATTTCTTAATTGCAAGAGCTCTTGTAGAACAAATGCTTTGTTACCGAAAATTATGAAATTATTTTGAGTTGGCTGCAGTAAGATTCCTTGGAGATAGTTTTGCCAATTAATTTTTACTCTTGAAGATATTAAATCTAAAACCAAAATATGTGAGACAATCTGCCCCTGCATTTACATACACTATTTCTTTATTAAATATATGTTTTTGCTTGATTGTTAAAAATTTATTTTTATGGTCTGACATTTAAGAAACTTCTACATGCCTGGTTGTGCTTTGTGCCACAGCTTGACGATGATGAAGTACTGCTGTTGTGCAGCTACAGATTAATTCTTGCACAGATTTTTCTGCTTCACTACCTCTTTTGTAGGTGCCAAAAATAATTGCTGATTGTGCCAAGCTGTGTCTTTATCACCTGTCACACATCTCCATGCACTGCATACCGCATCTAAGGTAAGCATGCATTTACCTTCGTTTTTACGTGCACATCACGCTCTATTCATAATACTTTTCTTTCTTTCACTGGCCTTTGTCTTCAGTGCTATGAAATGAGTTTGGAGTCCAGGTACAGTTGCTGTTTTTTTTTTTTTTTTTTTTTTTTTTAGTTGCCCTTTCAAATGTGGTGGCTATTTAAAACCACATAATGTTTTGAAATAAAAAAGAGTGAAATAAAGGAGGTAATTTTTGATTATTATTTCATTGTCATTTAGTCACTTTTTTTTGAGCACATCAACATTCAACTATAGGAAAGAATAAAGATGTGAGGAAGCATGAATTCTGGGCTAGTTTAAGAGTCTTTCCAGCCCTGAGCTCTATGAGTTAACACTGATGCTCCTGTGATTCATATGCTGAAAGTATTCTGACTCAAGACAACTAGTAAATATTATATATATATATATATATATATATATATATATATATGCTTTGTGGAGTAATTCTTACCTCTCATTTCAACACTACCTAATAAACATTTGAACTGGTTTATCTGAAAACACATTTAAAGAAAGAAAGCTCTGTTTGCAAGGTCAAAAACCTCTGTATCAATTCCACTTCTTTTTTTTTGGGGGGGGCAGATTTACTGAAATATTATTTGAATATATATTTATAAATGGAATAAAATGTAAAAATATAACTTATACTAACATTTTGTAGAAGTTCATGGGCTTTTGGCAGTTATTTCCAGCACCCCTACTGATAAAATGTATAGAATATAATAAGGTATGATTGGATATCAAATATTCTAGAATTCAAATATTAGAATTGTGACATAAAAATTGCTTTTTTGCAGTAAGTGGTGGTGTATCATTGTTATTTTCATTATGCAATCTAGAAAGAGCTTATATATCCAGAAAGATAGGATCGCAATGCGTGTTGAATGTTTAAATTTTAAAAATACAATTAAAGACACCATTGTGATTTATGTAGGAATGTCTCAACAGAGCCCCATGAACTTGTAGATAGGGCTTTGGGGTAAGTGATTGGATCATAGTGGAGCAATATGCATCAATAGACTAGTTTACAGCTGAATGGCTGTTGGGAAGCAGACCTGACCTGAAGAGCTGTGGCCCTGGGGGTGTCCCCTGGAAGTGTTTATCTCTTCTCAGCTCCTCCCTTCGCTCTCCTTCTGCTTTCCTGTTACCAAGCCATGAGCAGCCTCATGGAGACCCTATGCCCTGCTGGCCTGCTTTGGAGCCAGCAGACTATGGACCAAACTGTGAGTCAAAATAAACCTCTCTTTCAGTTGTGGGTATCACATATTGTATCTCAGCAATGAAGAAATTGACTAAGAGGAACACACTATCAGTAATCCTCATTAAAATACTCCCTCTCCCTTTGAATACACTTATTCCATCATCCTTGCCACTTTCTGAAACAGTTGTGGAAGTCCTATTTCATGAGTGTCCTTAACAGGCATGATCAAAAATACAGTGAATGCTGATGTTGAGTTTTATCCAACAGAAGGGTTTACAAAATCATTACAGTATGTCCACTTCTGCCCAGTTCACTAGATCTAGCAATGTGTGATTTTTGGGACTTCTCCAGCGCTAAAACAATCATGAAAGGTGTATATTTTGAATCAATTATTGACACCTGCTCAACCACAACTGTACAACAGAGGATATTCAGAAAATATGACTTAAGAACATCTTGAGAGAGACTCAAGAACAATAGGATATGTGTTTTAAGGGGAGTGTTCTGTGGGGGATTACTGTCACTCTTCTTTTTACTATAGTAAAATATTAAAATTTTAATCATGAAGTTAGCTTTTAATCACACATTATACCCACCCATATATATACTGACTTTTCAGTTCATTAACTTTTAATTCGTCAAGACGTTCATCACTATAAGCAATTTAAATATATTTTATATATAGGTAATTGCTAATATTAAAAGTGACTTCCTATATTAAAA